AATATTCTATTAACAAATCGCTCCTTTGAGGACAGGGCTGCCAGCATGGAAGCTGCACTCTGAGACCTGAGTGTCTAAACTGAGAAGAAAAGCTGAAAGAACTGTCTTTGGGCCAATATAATACAGTTTAGAACTAATACCTGGCTAGAACTGCCTGTGTGAACAGCCACTATGGGTAAAGTATTTTAATGTAGTTTGGGAGAGTGTTTTTATTTTTGTTTGGTTGTTGTTTGGGGGTTTTTAATCGAGAAAAACATCAACTACGGATTTTTTTTCTTTGGTTGGTTTTCTTAAGGTAGAGAAGGAAGAACTGGATTACCAGTTTGGATAGAGAAATCACAGAAATATAATCATACAATGCTTTGGGTTGGAAGGAACCTCAAAGACCACCTACGGCCAACCCCTCAAATTTTTCTCCAAGTGAGTGCAACATCTCAGAAGCCACAAAGGAAATAAAAGAATAAGACCTATTAAGTAGAACTAATGGGTTTTTGGTTGTTTTTTTTTTAATTGGCTATCCTGCTGAGACGAGGGGTGAAGAGACGAAGAGAGGGTGAATGGGTACAGAGCTCCTCTGAGGAAGAGCTGTGCCTTGTGCCCAAAACTGGCTAAGAGCCCCTTTCAAAGGCGCTGTGCTGTCCTTGGTGTCCACTCAGGACAAGGGTGCCGGTTTTTCCCCTCCCTCCCGGCCGAGCACTGGGAGCTGCAGCCCTGGGAAGGGCAGCGGGAGCCCGGCCGGCCCTGGGAAGGCAGCAGGAGCCCGGCCGGCCCTGGGAAGGGCAGCGGGAGCCCGGCCGGCCCTGGGAAGGCAGCAGGAGCCCGGCCGGCCCTGGGAAGGGCAGCGGGAGCCCGGCCGGCCCTGGGAAGGCAGCAGGAGCCCGGCCGGCCCTGGGAAGGGCAGCGGGAGCCCGGCCGGCCCCGGGGAGGGCAGCGGGGCCCGGCCGGCCCTGGGAAGGGCAGCGGGAGCCCGGCCGGCCCCGGGGAGGGCAGCGGGAGCCCGGCCGGCCCTGGGGAGGGCAGCGGGAGCCCGGCCGAGAGCGCTGCCGGGGCCGCCCGTCCCTGCCCTGCTCTCCCCCGCAGGAGCCGGGAGCGGGAGCTGCTGCTCTCCCCCAGCGGGATCGAGCTCCATCCGTGCCTTGCCTGCCTCTCCTCCTGCCCCGGCTGGCTCGGCCCAGTGGAGATGAAGCTGTTTCCGTGCGGAGCTTTATTCCCAGATGGGGAGCGCTGCCGGTTTCGCACCTGCAGGATCAGCAGCTGTGGGCTGCTACCTGCCCGGGACAGGTGATGGGAGAGAGGGGAGCGCTGCTGCTTTGGGGTAAGCAAAGGGCTGATTCCCAGACAGTAAATTTGTAATTGGTACAAGAAGCTGAGCTCCTGGTGACAGCGAGTGGCTCTGCTCAGAGGAGCACAACCAGCCGGTCACTGAGATGCTGTCCCCAGGCACTGAGCCAGCCCGCAAGATCCGTGCGATTCCTACTGCTGCTTCTCCCTGGATCCACATGAAAAACGAGAGGAAAAAAGCCACACAAAACAAAACCACAAAACCAAGGCACAAATCCAAGGAGGGAAAAAAAAAAAGCAAGCAAGCCAACCAGCCCAGGAGATCAAGTAGATATTCCCCCAGTAAAATTCTCTGTTAAAATATTAAAAATATGTAGGCATTTACAGAGAGATGGAAACAAAATAATCAGTGGTGCATGGAGATGTTTTTGACCAAGTGCAGCGGAGTTTTGCTTTCTGGCTAAGACACAAACCTGCGGCACCGGGGGGGTTAGGAAGAGAAGGGCTGACAGATTTAACTCCTGCAGCACAGCGGTTCCACCACGATAAGGCTGAAACCTGATGCCAGCCTGACTTTCACACATCAGAATGTGAATCCTGCCACTACCACATGCTTTAACTCTAAACACCAACAGTTAAAGTGGCATCTCATTTCCATGGCATATCTGGGAAAAAAAGCCTCGCTGGAGAAGAGCCTCTTGGTTTATTTATAGGCAAAACAGCTGCTTTGTGCATTCCGTGATCCAGGCTGAGGTCTGCTCCCAGCCCTGCATGTTCGAGTCACCTCGTGTGGATGTAAAACGTGGAGATCTTTTCCAAAGCTTTTTTCACTGGATGAGACCGCTCCTGTGGGACACAGCTCTACTGGGGATTTTCTTTAGTCATAAAAAAAATAATTTTTGATGGTGGTGGCAGACTAACCCAGACTACAACTTAGGTTAGTTCATATTAAAAAACAAAATAGTTTTCACAGCTGCCTTCCTCTCAATTTCCCTCCAGAAATGCTCACTAAATGTACAACAAACAAAAGCAAATAACAGCCTCCAGTCAAATTAATAGAGGAGATGAAGATGTTTCTCACCTCACTTTGGAATGATTCCACTCATACCACCCAGAATTTCCTACCACTGCTCCTTTTCTCCTTCTCTGTTGTGCATCTGAACTTTATAAAGTACTTTTATGTACTTCTGGTAGTTAACACTGGATACATGAACATGTGTCAGTACAAACAGGCATAAAACTCACCCAGGTTATTACAAATACAAGTGGTGAGAACTTTTTCACATTCTCCACATTTGCTCTCACCTGATAATATTCACTGCCACTGCAAGTTTCCATCTCTCTCTAAATATTTCATCTCCTATGGATTCTCACTCTTAAATCACACCACTGAAACAGCCCACGCTTCTACCCTCTTATATTTTTATGATCCTTTTAGAGGAGTTCTGTATCATTTATTTAGATTCATTATTGCTTTTCTCCCTTAAAAGCCACTTCATTTAATGCAGCTACCACTTCCATTTTTCAATACATACATAAATGGGATGGCTGTGTGCTCTGGCACCATGATCAGCATTTTGCCAAGCAGCAAGCTGCAGTTCTGCCAGTCTCATGCTGGAAGAGAAATCAATGACAGATTCTAGATGCTTCATATGCACACAGACTACAAAATGTCAGACAAAAGTAAGCAAGCAATTACTTTTCCCTGGAATTCCAGTCCTGTATCTTTGCCCAGTCCCCAGAAGTCACCATAAATCAAGACAAGACTCAAAGATCAAGTCACCAAACGACTTCCTATTACTTACAGAGTTTTAGAATTAATCTCTGCAGCACGAATAATCCCAAATGAACTGTCAGCACAACACGCTTCCCAAAACAGAACATTTACACACACACAAAGTGAAAGATTGGGAAAAACTGGTTGCTGGTAATTTAGACTCTCCAAATACATTTGGGAATATTCATAAAACGGGTTAAATCTGCTTTGTAGTTTACAGAGGCACACAGAACTCATTCAAAATACTGAATGCTTGCAAACACTCAGGTATTAACATCAATTTAAATGATCAGTTTAATTAAAGCAGGCAAGTTTAAGCACAGACAAGCCCTGCAGTGAATTGCTGCTAAACACATATTAAAAAAAGACTGGGGAGGGGGTGGAAGCACTAAGCTGTAGCTTTGCTTTTCCCCACTTCTTCCCCCAAACACACTCAGCCTAATCACACAGTTTGTCCAAACAGGAGCTCTGTGTGGCTTTCCCTTCTCTTTGTTTTCCCTGCCTTCCTGAAAGCTGTAACAACTCCTTGGCTCCTTTTCCAGGCAAGGCTGCTGGTTTCTATAAAGGGACTCCAAGCCTGGCAGGCAGCAGGCACAAGGCTGCTTGCAGGCTCCCTGCTTTGCCATCTCTTTCTGCAGACACTTAACTCCAACGCTTGCCAGCCAAGCCAGGCATTTTCCTTAGGTTTATCTGCTCCATCTTAAGCAGCAGGTAAGATAAATTCCTTCAGAGACGATTCCAGCCCTCCCTCAGGTGATTCACGCTACATGAAAGACTTAAAAAGAGTTTTTCCTCGGAGTTGCAAGTCAGTATGGCGCACACAAAACCCATGCTAATTTATTCAGCTCTCTTATCTGCCTCCTTTCACTCCCTCAGCTGATACAAGGCATGCCAAGTTCACCGATGGCGCTCCCCTCACGCTGCACTGCTGCTCCCTTCCCCTTCAGAGGGAACATTCTCTCTACCTATTTAGCAAGATGGCTTTTAAAAATAGGAACACAAAATCCAGTGCTGAGCTCAGGACAGCTATGGGAGACACAGCAGGTGCAAACATTCTCTTACACAGCATTTTCTGATGATATGACAAAGGGAAACTCTGCTTGCAAAGGTCTTAGAAGGACTTTCCAGGGTAATTTTCATCCCAGTGTTTTCCAGATATGGCAACCAAAATCCCTTTCACCTACAAGTATCAGAAAAAATGTTTCAAAAAGCCAAATTGTACCAGACAAGACTGAGCCTCCTGAAGAGGGCCAGAAGGTGTCTGTGCCTCTTTAGTTGCAGGTTGTCCTCAATCTTCCCAATATGATATTATATTTGTTTATATGATATTTATAAATATTATATAAATAAAGATACAGTAAAAATTCTGTAATTTAAAGGCAGCACAAGTTCAATATGTGGAAAAAAACTCAGAGCAAACACCACCTAATTTAACATGGAGCTTACTGAAATGTGGAGTTTGGCTCAGACAGAGCCTTACAGGGAGACATAGCCCTGTACTTGGTGTGATGATTCAAAAAGTCAGCTCGTGGTGTTTCTAGAAAAAATCTTCTGGATAGGAAACATGCTGCTGTTTAATTTGGAGTTTTTTCCTCTCTTCCCCGATGCTGAACACACAGCAATTAATTGGAGATGAGCTTTTCATTTTCTAGGCACTGCAATTTTTCTGTGCTATTGAATGCAGCATGTTAAGGTGGCAGTTGGTTGAACCTCTTTCAAGTCCAGCCCAGGTCAGCCTACAGCTTTTCCTGCTCTGCAGGTACTTCCACACATCCCTTGGCTTTTTCTGCTCAAAGGCAGGAGCAGTGGGGAGCAGGTTTGTTCCCTGCAGAAGCAGACGAGGTTTGGAGAGGATACCCAAGGCAGGGGAGGGCAGTTAAAGATCCACTATCCACAAGGAGTTATAAAGTGAAATTTAATCTCACTGTGAAGCACTCACACCTCAGCCCAGCCCTCAGAGGGTCACCCACCCCTTCAGAAGGCAGCACACTGATTAAATGACCTTATGCACTCCTCCATGAGCATCTTTTGTCCGTCCTGGGGTGCTTTACAAAGAGCTCCGGTGCTGACAAGATTTGAGTGTGCTTTGAAGGTGCTTTGGAATTGGTTACAAAAGGCTCACAGGCAGCAACGAGCTGCACGAGGCTCCTGGTTGAAAAAAAGAAAGCAGGGAGAGGGGAAATTATCTCTCGCTGAAGAGTGAAAGATTTTTACCATAAAACAACAAAGTTGGCATTTTCAAATTACAAAGCAGTACCTTGGAATGGAGTATAAATGCTATTAAAGATTACTAAAAAGAAAAAAAATTGTTTTGCCAAGCATTGACAGTGATTGTAAGCCATTCACACATCTTTTGCTTCTAATTTCTCCCTACAGTTTTATTTTCAAAGACCTCAGAAAGCTTCTTGCTTTAACATTTTAGGAACTGTCATCTCATCTATTCCAGCCCAATAAAGCACCGAACCTAAGTCAAGCTCAGCTCCATTTATTTTACTATCAGGTACAATAATGTTGCAAGCCAAAAATTTTAAGGCAGATTTTGGAACTAAGACAATGCCTATTTACAAACAATTATTAACTACAGCCTCATTATACAATTCTTCCCACAATTTTCAGGATTGCAAACTGTCTTCCCAGTCTTTTTTTCTTAAACTGTACCAAGCACTAAGAAGTTCTTAGTGGCATCTTTCAAGCTAAACACTCTACACCAAAATTCTCTCAAACTACATATTTCTTAAAAGACAGAATTATTTTGGCACATCAGTGATTTTCAGATTCCTTGTGCTTAAAATATTCTGTTGAACTACCCAGAATTCAAGAAGTTTTAGAGATGCTGATTTTACTAATGCTGACAAATATGGCAAAAAGCCAAATCTGCCTCCTCCAGGCTCCAGAAGGTCAAAGAGGAATAAATGGAGTCATGAATCAGCCCAGTAATGTGGGATTAGAAGATGTGCAATCAAATCTTAGGCTCATTAGAGTCATTACAGCAAAACTCCCATTGCATGTCTTCAGTGGGTACAGGGGGAACAGTTTCCACCCAAACCATCCTGATTAAGGCATGAACCACTCCAATTTCCAGTGCTGCAAAACACTGGATCTCAAACCCAGCAGAGCAAATTGCTAAATCCTCTTTCAGGGCAGCTCTGCTTTATGTTGGCAGGCAGCATGCCTGGAGTATCAGACATTTCTCCCTGTCTCCCATTCCCTTATTTGACTTTGCTGACCCCAGCTGAGATATGGGGAATCTCATCTCACCACTCCTGCCCAGCCCTCACTGTCCCAGACACCCCTGCTGGGGTGGGGGGATTTATTTACAGGAGTTCAAAGGGGTTTTACTCCTTTTTATCAAAAAACCAGATTCTCTCCAACCTGCAGGTGTCAAGACCATTCTCCTGCAGTTCCTGCTCTGCTTCATGGGCTACTCGTGCTGTGAACTTGATTCATCATTTTGTTGGCAACTAGAAAAGCTTGTGTAATCTGCAATTCTACTCAGCTGTGGACAGAAACGAGCCAAAGAACTTACACAAACTCACATTTATCACTGCAAATTCATCAGCAACAAATATAGGATATTAATTTAACTTGCATGCTATTGAAATAACCTGCTAAGCATTAATATAGAGGCAGCAACCAGTGGCTTAAGGGAAATTTTTTTCTTCTAACACATCCAGCAGAAGCTTAAAATCCTTTTGCCACCTAGCAGAGAGGCCTTTTTGTGTTTAAAAATAGCACTAAGAGAAAAATACTTTGATTCCTCAGCATCAAGTGCTTAAGGATGTTTACAAGCAATTGATAAAGCCCAAGAATCCAGTGCAACACCTTCTGAGCAGTTACAACCAGAATTTGGAGAAGGACCTTTTTGGTGCATTTTTTAACCAGCTTTTTACAATTCTTCTTACAAAACCTTGGTGTTATGTAATAGGGAGAGGTCTGATTCCCACAAAAAGCTTTGCAGCTCCCCTAAAAGTGGGACGGGTGATCCTGCTGGCCAAGCAGCCCCAGACAAAGGAAGTTTGTGCAATGGGTGTCTCCAGAGTGATCCCAAACATGCTGTCACACTGTGGGTGGCAATTTCTCCAAAATATACCAAGGCCATGGGAAGGGATCCCAAGGATTTGAGGGCTTTGGATCAGTTTTGTGAGGCTCTGAATTATGGAGGAGCCTAAAGTCAGCATGGAAACAAAACCATTTCAAGGCTTCCTCCTCCTAACTATTGCTTTGTCAGACTAGTAGACAAACACCTATATTTAAACTATATTACTAACAAACATATTTTCTCTGGATGCCCTTATCTTTTGAATAACCTCTTAAAAACAAACAAAGAACTGTATTTTAAGGATGAATAAATAAATTGTTGTTATTGTTATCATCATCATCATTTTTCTTATATCCCACTGATGAGGGTAACAGCTATGGAAAAGTGTCAGGAAAAATGAATCTCAATAGCTACAGAAAAAGTTCTTCTTTAAAATCTGAAACTGATTTGTGCACAGGCACAATTCAAAAATTAAAGCAACTCTGGACTGGTTTCAAGTGCTCTTACCAAGGAATTTCTGTTACAGATGTAGCAGTGATAGCTGCAAATGTTTGGAGAAAGCAAATTACAACTTTAATAACGTTGCTGTGCATGGGTACTCACCAAGGAACCAGCAGAGGTACACTTACACCGTGCAGGGACAAATCTCTTTAAATAAGGACAGCAGATAATTAAAAATACACATCCCCCACTGGAACAGGCCCTGCAGAGGGAAACAGGGCTCACTGTGGACAAGGAGAAACATGGAGTGAACATGCAGACTCTGGAAAGACTAAATCACCACAAGAGGAAATTGGTCAGAGAACAGAAGCTGCAGATGTGGGGAGGGCATGCATTTGTTCAATTTCACTGAAAGACTGGTTTTCTACAATGGCTTTGGCTGTTGGCTGCTTTAGCTCCAGTAGCAAAACAAAAACAAAACAGGAAATTCCACAGTTGTCTGAATCAAAAAGTGCTCAGAAAAAAACAAAAAAAAGGGAAATTACATAAATTTGAATGATTTTGGCAGAAATTCAAGCAGAAAAATTGAGTCCAGTCAACTTTTTTGTAATTTCTTTAAAAATACTTTTAAAGATATTTTTCTTATTGGCATTTTATTTCAAAGCTTTGTTGAGCTTTTAAATCTTGAATTTACAGAATTGAGCATAACACTTTGGCTTTTAATCACTTAAAGCAGTTGCTGATAATGTTTTAGCAGTTGTTTTTTTAGTATTAAGTAACTTAAAACTGCAAAATCTCAGTGAACTCCATTCACACTGAATGTGTGACAGCATCTGTCAGCCTGAATTAGTTTTATTTTGGGATCATGCTGATCAGAATATACCAACAAAGGCACTAAAAAGCATCAAAGCAAAAATAATCACCTCTGAATTAGGAAGCCTCTTCCCATCAGTGGCTGCTGATATTTCCTTGAGGACTGGGCAGGTGGAAGCATCACTGGGTTGCATTTTTTGTGTGCACTCAGAGCACTCGTTGACTTCAACCAGGAACAACAGAGCCTGAAACAAGGAGCACAGAGGGGTCAGCACCTGTGCAAAACACAAATGGAACAAGCAACGAAGCTGCACAATGTCTAATGGCTGCAAGAAAAAGTCCTGCATTCCTCCTTGGTGTGTAACTTATTCAAGCACAACCCTGAAGAAAATGATCAACGTGTCCTTTATAAATGTCTTAACACTGTTATCACATAAAATGAGCCAAAAATAGGTGTTGCATGTGAGTTTGACAGGAAATAAGTTTATGATTACTATTTTTTTCAGTTTCCATGATAAGCAGCAATGCAGGACCAGGAAATTTGGCCATTTTTACTGTCCCAACAAGAGAAAAAGATCTTTCTCTGTAAAATAAAGGCTGGTAGATAGATCTAAAATACAGCAGAACAAAAAAAAAAATCTTCTTTGCAGCTAAAATACGAGATAGAGTTACACAGGGTGGGGGGAAAAGTAAAAAATTAAATCTTCCTATTTGAACAAGGACTTGTGTGCCTGTGTTTCACCTGCCAGCTCCAGCTGTGCACAGCACTTCCACACACTCCACTCACAGGCTGCTCCTATTGTCTTGGGGGACTTTTGTTTAGTCTGTGCTAGATGGCTGCATTTGAAAACCATAATAAAAGAGAAGCCTGCATTATCAGAACTCATGCCAAGCAACTATAAAGAATTTTGATGGCTCTTTCATTTCACATGAGGCTTTAATCTGCAACAATTACCTTCTTCCAGCATGTGTGTGTTCCCCTTTGTGACTGACAGGGAATACAAAAGCCAGGATAAGTGATATTGGCTCCCAGCCACGTGGATATGACCTTTTCATGGAAATGTTTAAAGCATTGGCTGCTCCTGAGGTTTAATCCTCAGTTCCTCGTTTGGGCAGAACACTTACAGGTCTGGAATTTTTTCTACAGTGATTAATTGAGGGATTTACTTCTGCTCCCTTGCTTTCACAGGCAATATGATGACGTGTGGCTGGCTTGAGCACACACTTTCATGAGATCAACAAAAAAAGAGGCAGAGTTGCAGTTATTTCTGCATTTCTTTCATGTCATCAGGTGGGGTGTAAAACATCTGGAACAGAGTTAACATGCTCCAAATAATGCAGGGTTCTTTGTAAAAATATTCTTCCAGTAAAATAAGGAGTCCTTGTGTTTGTGTTCACCACTAGGCCAACTGCTAAAATGATTATTTTAACAAGATGTCACTGTAGCTACTGTGTTGTTATAGTAACTTCTCATGGGTTTACATTCTTACAGCTTTAAAACTGAAAAAGTAAATTAGCAAAAGATGAAAACATATTTTACTGAGACAATTCAGTGCCCATTACCACAAATATTCAAGAATCATTTCTAAATGACCACTAGGTGCCATTTTCAGATTATGGCTGATTTGTAATTTTTTAATTTTTTTTTTAAACCTCTTACCCAAATGATCCTAGAAATCCTTGGCTTCTGAATTATCTGGAATCCAAGGCTGCAAACAAAGCTCTTGGATTCCACGTGGCTGTAGATACAGGCAATGTCACAGCAGAACAGTTGATGGGCTTGTACATAACCAATAAATCTCCCCAAAAGAATTCAGGGGAACCCCAACCCACCTGTGCTACCACTGAAAATCACCCCTGTGGGAAAAAAAAAAAAAAACCATGTAAACTGTATGTTATTAAAGAGCTGAATCCCTGCCTGTCTCTGACTGAACTCAAAGCTGCCACTGAAACAGAGACAAGTTGTTCTGGAGCAGTCCTTCCCTCCAGGTAGCAATGGGATCTGCTCTGCTTGCAGGAGAAAGGGATCTTCTCCAAACGCCTGCCCTGGAGGGAATTTTCCATGCAGTGTTCACAGGCTGCAGTGACTGACACTGCTGCTGCAAGCAGAGGTGAGAGTGGAGTGCCTGCAAGATGTGCCAAGCCACTGAGGCAGCCCTGCAAAGACACAGCAAAATAAACTATTTCTCTATTTAAAGATCAAAATATAAAGAAGAATATATCTGAGGTATTTTCTTCTTATATCAAATATTTGTAATTTACACAGATTCCTGCTCTTCCAGAAGGAGCCTTGCCCAGCAAGGGCCAGAGGGTGGTGTGGCATAAAAAAGCCAGGGGAATCAGATTAGGGTAAGATTTAATTCTTCAGTTTTAGAAACAAGTTGTGTTCCAATTGTCAAAGTTTACTTTAGCAATGCCCACTGAGGAGTGACACTGCAATGGGGTTAAAAGGGACTGTTCACAGCTGCTCTGTCCTGGTCACCACTCTTGATGCAAAACTTCCTCTCTAACACAGAGTACCAGCTCCTTAATGAAGGGGTTTTTTTTCTGAAATCTTGAACAGCACAAACATTTAAGAGGCTTCTGAAAGCTCAGAGTCGGCTTTCACACCCAAAACACTCAGTGAGGCATCACCCAACCTGACAGCAGCTGTTCCAACCTTAAAATTTCAAACCTCTGTGAGCTCCTAACCCCACTGAAGGTGGCAGCTCTGCATAAAGCTTGGCTTGGCCATCCCAACACAATGAAGCCTTAAAGCTCAGCCCCTTCCCAGCATTTCAGAGTGTGGCAAACTGCTTTGTAGGGCGGCAAACAGCTAATTAGCAAGTTTGACACTTAGGAAAATATTTGTGGGCTAATTGTTGAGCAATTATTTATTCAAACCTGAGTTCTGGAATTTCTCAAAACTTCTCAGGTTTTCCTGTGGTTACTCTGGGAGAAGCAGAGCAACTCTCTAAAAGTGCCCCCAGTAAAATCCATGAAATCTTTATTACCTTTAACCAACCATTCCTGCCTGCACCTTTCAGCTGTGCTGACACAACCAGAGAAGAGAATTGGTGTCTATTGACCATAGAAATCACACCCACAAATTAAGGGTAGCGCTAAACAGACCATTTTGTAGGCAATTCTCAGCCTCAGCTTCTAAACAAACCTGTGATCTACTGCCAAATTTATTCTAGCATTGATTTAAAGGAGTTGGAGGCTGAAAACCCTTAATGATTCATTTTTAGTGTACATTTGTATAGAGATGCATTATTGTTTACAAACGTTGTCAGTATAAAAGGACAAGTAAATGCCAGATACATGGTTTGGGGAAAAAAAATCAAATCCTGAAATTTCTGGAACATTCATATGAACTCTTAGTTGCTTTAGCCTAATAATAATTTAAAACCCTCACAAATTTGGCAATATTTACCAACATTCAACATCTCTGGTCACACTACAACTCATCAAATCTCTGCAATTAATTATCTTGATGGAAATTAATCTGATAAATATGCAAACTGCCAGACACACCCATGGACAGGGTGAGAGGAAGGTTCTGCCTGTATTTTATTTTACTCCTATGAACAATCTTTCATTTAAAGTGTTAAACTCCTTGCTAAATGCTTGTAAATGTAGGATACTGAAATGATGAAGCAGCAAACAAACTGTAAATCAAAACCTTCAATTTTTCTCGTCATCAATAAACAGTTTTGCTCATGCAATGGGAAACAAAATGTTACATCCTCAAAAACCTGCCCAAAATTTTAATAGTATAAACATGATCCCTGCAGTGAATAAAGTTCATGCTAGACATAGCTCAGGGAATATCTTCAGGTTCACATTTATCACAGACAAATGTCAGGGGTTTTGTGCAAATAATTTATTTTGGTGCTCAGAAACTCGAAGTGCTGTTAAATAAACACAGGGAGTGTCCCTGCACAGGAGCCTAAACGAATTTGAGAGCTCCTCTGTGATCTAAAGCAGTTTTCTTGTCAGAAAGAGCAGGACTAGAGAGTGGTACTCAAATTACACCCATATTATGTACTTCCTCCCCAGGATCCCAGAGAGCAGGGAAGCAAACAAGGAATTACTGAGCTGAAACTGAGAACAAGTCCTGACAGCCTCACTCTCTCCAGCTAAACAGGGAGAAAGTCACTGGAATTCAGCTGCTCTTCTCTCTCAACAGGAGTTGTTTTCTGTGCAGCACAGAAGAGACTTGGACGTGGGAAAACATTCCAAATATTAAACACTTCTGAAAACTCTCCAAGGTGTGTTTCTGTGCCTAAATACATCTCAAAATGTGACCACTGAACACCATTTCTAATTGGGCCTTGGACAAAATCAAACAGGAGGAAAAAGGGATTTTTTTAGGAAGTGATATGAAAAGTTATTTACTGCAAAACAATAATGAAAGTTGGTTTGTTGGGGTATTTTTTCTGAGAAAAAAGGATGCTCAGCACCTTGATAGCCAACCTCTAAGTGATCCTTCAAAGATGTGCACACACAGAACACCAGTGGAACTTGTGTATCTCCCTTGAACTGGTGTTTAAGAGATATCACAACTGGGAAATTCTAAAAATCTTCAATCCAGTTCTGGCCACATGAAAAGCGCTGAAGCTGAAAATACCACACTGACTCCAAGTGTATTCTCAAGAGCAGTGCCCTGTACATAATGATCACAAAAATGCAACACTGGGTGTGACTGCTCACATTTCTTTTGTTTTGGTTTGTCCTTGACTGCTCAGGAAGAAAACCACTCCAATATTCTGTGCCATTACTCATCTCAGAAGGCATTATCTGTTACAACAAGAAAACTCCAGCCATGCAAAAATCAGTACTAGCAAAGCAAGCTGGAGGGAACCTACTGCTCATGCTATAAAATGAGTATATAAAATTTCTAAACAACATGTGCTCCGGTTTTCAGTGCGAACATAAATTTCCCAGCAGGTTTGCAGGCTCAGAATCACAGAGAAAGTAAAGCATTATGCAGTTATAACACAGTTATATCTGAGTATAATGACCACCTCAAGCCATCAGTACTTTTTCTCCCTCCACTGAACTTTTTTCTATTGCATCCTTTTCTCTGTTGTCAGACAAGAGCTAAAATAAAAGATTTAGAGTAGATGTGCACAAAAATGCCATTTTCTCTCCACAAACTTGTGTATAAATGAACAGCAAATAACAAACCCCATTTATTTTGTCAAAAATAGCAGCACTTGAGGACTGGGAGCTAAGATACATATGAACCAATGTGGTGGTTGGTGACATCTGAAAATATTTTTTTCTTACCCTGGCTGAGATTGTGTCAGAACTCTGCTGCAGTCCCAGTCAAGCAGAAAACCAAAATGAAGGAATTGCAGGGTAATGTGAGCAAGCAGCAACAATCACAGCTGGGTGGCATCACCTGAGAGCAGATCATTTACCAGAGGAGCAAGATCCAAGGGGCTGATGGCAGATCCATTCCACAAGAACTACCTGGAATCACACCATTACCTCAAAACCCACTTTTACCCACTAGGTCACAGCATTATTTTGATGTTTAAGCACCAGACAACCCCTTAACCTACTTTGAAAGTGCCCTGTGGAACACATGCTCCAGTTCTACAGGGAGGAGAAGGGAGAGAGAAATCACAGCTCTGTTTCCCTGAGAGAAGGAGGCAAGAGAGAAAAACAAGGCCCAGCATCCCATGTGCTCCAAGAGCATTCCTGGAAGCCCAGCTCCACCCCCGTGCCATCCTCAGGGCTGCAGAACAGGAGCTTCTCCAAAGGCCTTGTGAGGCAGAAGAGGAGCCAGAAGATCCTCAGGGCTCTGGATTCCTCTCCACTTCCCAGCCCCATCCCAATGCCAGCTCTAGCAGCTGCTTTGTGAGCAGGGAATGCAACATTATCACCCCCATCATTCAGCAAAGCCCAGCCTTCCACAGGATTTGGAGCCTTGAGGCCTAAGGGGAAGATACTCAAAATTTTATTGTGCTTTGCTTCTTTCTGTGTTGAGCAACAGGTCCCAGCCTTCCAGTGACTTTCCTGAAGGGTGAATTCAGCACCATGAAAGCTTTTATAAGGTTCAACACTTTCAGATCCCACAGCAAATACAAACATATTTCAACTCAGTTGGTCAGCACCTTAGACAAGAAGTTTGCCTCATGCTAAAAACCAAGAAAACCTTTTTTTCTAATTATTATTATTGTTATTCCCAGTAGGATCCAAAACACACCAACTTCCCAAACACTCTGTTCTTGCCTTGAGTAGCTCCCAGTGCCTGCAATAAAAGCCATGGTGTAAGGCACACCCACACCACTGTCCTGGACCAGAAACACACACACACACCTCTGTCTGCATCTTGTGGAATTCCTTCCTGCTGCATGGAGTGCTACCACTACTGCATCCCATTATCCTGATCAGAGGGACTCTCATCTCTCCTAGATGCCCAGATAAGTTCTGGTCAGTTCTGTTGTGACTAATTTTTACAGAAATCATAATACTTTACAAGTTTGTCACAGTGAGTCAGGCCCATCACCTCCAGTAACTCCACTGAAGTGTTCTATTGTCCAGACAAAGAAATTCAAGGGGACAAAACAGGTTAATAAAAGAATGCAACACTGTGAAGAAGTGAGTACTGACAGAAATCATTTCAAGCTGAAGCTAGTGTAGTTTTGATCCCCCTCACTTCAAATATTATGCTTGGGTTGCACAGTCAAATGCCTAAGGTACAAACCCCAATGCTGTCTTTAAACCAGCTTGAAAATATTATTTGAAATTTGTAAAATGAACTAATCTTTCCTAGAAAGAAAAGAAAGTAATGATTTAGTCACCACCCTGCCCTCTCCAAAAGCACAGGTGAGTGAGTGGATTGACACTGAGCTGCAGAGTCATAACTCCATCATTATTCCTGGCAATCTATAAAGAAAAAAAATCACAAGAGAAACGTTCTTGCTGCACTTTGGAAATGATGTGAAATGTTCTATGTTTATCCACATGAAATAAAGCCTCTGAGCCTTTAGAAAAAGGTTTATTTCTAGAGAAGTATGATTAATGCTCAGGAAGCTCCATGCAAATAACCCCATTGAGATGTTTTGCCATTTACCAACAGTTCACAAACATCTGAATCAAACATGAGGCAAGAACCTGGCATAAACCTCTCCTCTGTGGGTAATAAAATATGAAACAGTGCCTCAGTTCTAATCAGATTATCACATGAAAGGGAAAACTTTTAAAGGCAAATTTCACTGATTTAATCTATATTCCTCTTTCAGAATTATATTAGAATTTCATTCCAGGAGGTCTGTGACAATCCCAGAAGCTCAAGACTCCTAAATAGCAAACACCAACAGTTTTGTGGTAAAATAGTGACAGCTTCTTCACCTGTTTGGATGAAAGAGCTGAATCACAATGTGACATGAGAAACTGTCATGTGATTTGAGGCTAAAAATAACAATTGTTTCAAGGAAATTCCTTGTTTAAGAGGAAAAATGCATCACATGGCAAGAGCAGGGTAGAGCCAGGACTTTGATGCCTGCTAGCACAGGGAACAGAGCTGTAACTACAGGGAAAGTCACCTTGGAGTGTAATGCAATTCCCAGACCATCCTAGGTCCAGAAGAAATCCATTTCCAGCTAAGAACTATATAAATATCACATGCAAGGGGATGCCAGGACAGCAATGTGAGAAGGTGGGGAAGGAAAATGGACTATTAAGAGAAGGGAAATGAGGAAATACAGCTCAGGGATTCTTTGGTTGGTTGAGAGGGAAGTTGTGAATGATGCCTGATGTGGGGCACTCTGCTTTGAGATGTTCCTCAGAGGGCCAGGGAAGAAATTCCAGCATTGCCTGGAATAAAATAATAATAAAAACAAAAATAAAATAATATAAAATAAATAATACTATAATATAAAAATAAAATAAAAATAATTTCTTGCTTTTTTGGACATGAGATATATCCTATGCTTTTGATACTTCAGGATTCTAAATGGAAACTGGATCTAATAAGAGGTGTCATAAATTTAGTCTTAAATAAGTGACTCAACAACAAAAAAGATAAATGGTGGTATAAATGAGAACAGAAGGTTTTCTTCAGTAGCTAAATATTTAGCTGGATAATCCCCAAGGATTCCTCCAACCCCAGATAAATTCCTGCCAGGCCCAAATCACAGCACCCTTCAAACTTTATTTGCACCCTTCTGAGAAGTGCTCAAGGTCCCAGGGACCTTCATCAGTGCTGTGTTCCAAATGAGCCTCACCCAGCCCTCCTGGAACAGGAGACACAAGCACAGGGAGGAGAGGAAACACTGGATATTGGAGAGAGCACCACAGTAGCTCCTACACTGTGTCCTCAGAACTGAGGACTTTCCTCCTGCCAGCAGTGGCTGCAAGGGGAGCTGCCAGCTGGGAGCTGCCTGGGTGCAGCAAGCCCCAAAGCTGCAGGATGCCAAAAGCCTCCTCCAAACAGGGGGGACAGCAGGAATTGTCACATGGAGGGGCAGCTCTTAACAGGGCTCATCTCATCAGCCACTTCTCTCTGCGGGCATTTTTGATTCTTTGGTGTAGAGGACTAAAATCAATTTCTTTTAGTAGATTTAAAACTTATCAAGTTGGAGGAAAATTCCTGCAACTTCCTTTCATAATATACTAATTTTTATACAATTCTCTGGCCCTCCAAGCATTTAGACAATAAGGTTTTAACTTTGTTGTAGGAAACTCCTGTAACAAAATTCTGTATGAGATGTTATGAAAAGGAAAATGGCATTTATTTAAAAGTCAATCTGATCACACTGACTTTAGTCAGTGGAACTCCCAAACACTCACAAGCAGCAAGTGTTCTCTATCAGAATATTTCATGGCTCCAGCTCAGGTGCCCATCTTCTTGACACTTCTATTTAGGTTAGTTCCTTCTTTTCATTTGAATGAAATCACACATTTCATTCATTATTTAGGTTAGTTCCTCCTTTTCATTTAAATGAAACCACACTCTTCATCCATTTAAGAGGCTTTCCCTCTTAACCCTGGTTCTACAGTTTCCTTTGCAGCCATCACTTTTTCCCCATTATCATTTTAATACAGTTCTGCTTAATTTCAGTAAGGAAAAAATTTCCTACATGTCAAGTTTCAGAAATTATTAGAGTATTAGAGCCACAAGCAATTGTAACTGCAAATGATTAGAAATTGGGATTTACAAAAAAATCAGCGAACAAATTCTCAATGTGCACTTTGTGATGTGATCACAAAGAGCACCAAACTGTCTTGTAAAAAAAAAAACAATTTAAAAATCTTATCTACTCACCACACTTGTGTATTAGAACAATTCCAATCACGTTACATTGTGCAAAGAAAAAAACCCCATTAATAGAATCTACCAAGGCTGAGCTCTGCTTTCTCATTAGGTGAAACAAAAGATCCTAAATTTCTTATTAGGGGAAAAAGGTCAATTTTACTCCAAGAATGCACTTCTACACACACATCATTTTCTCAGAACTATAGATACAGTGCCTAGCAGCTACACCACAGAACGTCGCGTTCACTTGCTTAGTCCAGATCTTTTGAGTGAAAAGAAATAGAAATTAATTTTTTTGTGAGGAGCAAATCCTGAACAACTCTTAAATCAGGGTACACAGCAGTGCCAGCACTCCATTCCAGAAAGGACACCTGACATGCAGATTGGTCCCAACAGGAATGTTTTATTGATTATAGCCTGTCATATGACAGTCCCTCTGCTATTTATGTACAATTAGCATCAAGTTTCATCCTGGGCCACTGCCACTTTGGATTTAATTTTACTTGGATCCAACTACATACACACTAATGGGTCTCCTGCAGTTGTACTCCTTGGTGTGGGAGCTGTTTTCCCTTGAAATTGCTGGGATATATTTTCAGTAAGGGCCCAAAAATGCTGCCATTCATCATTTGGACCCTCAATCCACTGCTTTCAAAATGCACCCATCACTAATCTCAGGCTCAATAACATTTCAGGCCAGACACAGACATGAGCTCAGACTGAGGCTTTCTTTAGCTTTTCACCCCAAAATGAAGTTACTAGATTATGGTAGTCATTGGTGCCTGCCTGTGTTACAGCCAGCTCAGGAGAAAGGGAAGCTCACTGTGCCAGAACCAAGAGTAATCTCAATAAAAAGTTACCTGGGTGGGTCAGGCAGCTCAGTTCAAATGCAGGGAGCAGCCCCCCAGCCAGGAGAACTTTTCCTCCCAGGGTGTCACTCAATGCCCCGAGCAGCAGAACACCAACCCTGTGCTGAAAAGAGAGGTGGCAGTGAAGCCTCACCTGGGGATTTCTTCAGAATTTGCAGAAGATTTTATGGTGCTCTCTAACAACAACAAAAAAACCAACCCACCAAAAAAAACCAAACCAAAACACACACACAAAAAAGCCAAACAACAAAAATCAAAATTCCCATTAGTCCTGCATGACTCTATTTCATTCAGTCATTTCAGAGTTTGCTAGAAGGGGACACATGATACAGTTAAAC